ATGTGAATTACACCTCAATAAAATACATACATATGAAGATTTCATAGTAATATGTATAAATGCTCATGATTCCATGAAGGGAAAAAACAGTATAAAATTATATCCTTGATCTGATTCAATCATGTAAAATTACTTATGTAAATTCATGAATGAGGACCAGAAAAGGACATGAATAAATGAAAACAGTTTGATATAAGTGAATTTTTTATTGAGGTAGGGGGAGGAATGGTGGCCATTATATTGTTCTTTGAGTAATGAAATATTTTTCTTCCCAAGACAGTGTCCACAAGAGGGCAGACAAAAGATGACAAATCAAACCATTTAACACAAGCAGGGGCTGAAAAGAATCCCGAATCTGGTGTTGAAAGCAATCTTAGAGGTCATTTGAGTCCAACTTCCTCATACTGCAAAAAAAAACTGAGGCCCAGAGTGATGAAGTGGCTCATACCAAGTCTGCCGACTTGTCATGCAAGAGGCAGAAGTAGAACACTAACCTCCTCACTTCTCCATCCATGCTTTCTACCAAATTACAGTGCTTCCTAAAACAAGGCAATGTTTAATCTAGAAAAGTGAAGGTTTAGTGGGATACGAGATGAAGGGTGGGTCCTCTTCAAGAAAGGGTTTTTTGTTGGTTTTTGGTTTTTTGTAGTAAAAGATGGCAAATCTAGAAAGAAATTACAGAGAAGTTAATTTTAATCCAATAAAAGAACTTTTTAACAATTAAGGGTATCCAAAAGGTGGGATAAGAAGGGAATTTTTTATTCAAGCAAAAGCCAAAATGGTTCCCTCTGAAGCAAGCTATTCTCAAGATTCTACACTGAATATGTACTTGGGATAGAAGCTTTCTCAGTTCCCTTTCAACTCTTTTAAAAGATTAATAAATTTCTTATTTGTGGCTGCGGAAGAATATGAAATCATTAGATTAAATCAACTCAGGTAGAGAATAAGGAAGACTTCTTGCTTGCAGATACCTTATTTATTTGTTTTTAATTACTTTAGCAGATTTCTTTTAACTGATTTTCAGTATGTCAGATCTTTTGGGAAGCATATTTCCAGAAAAAAATCTCTCAGTGATTATGTCCTAGAGTTGGAAGCAATATAGTATTTACTTCCAGAAGTTCTAAATTCACATAATTTTGTAATATTTCTTCCTTTAAAAAAAAAAAAAGATTGTTCGCAACAACATGGATGGATCTTGAGGGCATTATGCTAAGTGAAATAAGTCAGACAGAGAAATTCATACCATGTGATCTCACTTATATGTGGAATCTAAAAACAAAAATAAAAAAGAAGCTCATACAGAGAATAGATTGGTGGTTGCCAGAGGCAGGGAATAAGTAGATGGGCAAAATAGGTGAAGGTGGACAAAGGTACAAACTTCCAGTTATAAAATAAATAAGTCATGGGGTTGTAATGTACAGCATGACAACTATAATACTACTGTATTACACATTTGAAAGTTGCTAAGACAGTAAATCTTAAAAGCTCTCAATCACGAGAAAAAAAAATTGTAACTATATATGGCAATGGATGGTAACTAGATTTATTGTAGTGATTATTTCACAATATATACAAATATTGAATCATTGTCATACACCTGAAATCAATACAATATATGATAATTATACCTCAATTTTTAAAAATGAAAATAGAAATAAAATGTCTTGGCTGACAACACAAATTTATGTCACAACAGTCAGAATTTAAACCCCAGTTTAGCCACTTAAAAGTTATTAGGTAAATTACTTAATCTCCCTATGACTGTCTACTAATCTATATAGTAAAAATAATAATAACCTTCCCTGAGGAGTTGATGGAATTGCTTGATTAACATCACCATATGTATCGTGCTTAACAAGTTGCCTAGAATCTAGAAATAGTTCAATAAAAGGTTATTGTTATCCTTTAAAAAAAGGCTGGGCTATACCATTGGCTATTAGATATATAAATAGATGCCCTCTGGGGTGGATGGTGGTTTAATCCTGGCAAAGACGCAATTTCAGTACCTGCTCATAGGCCAGGAAAAGAAGGAAGATGAAATCCAAACATGGTTTAATCAGTCTTTCCTACAAAGAGGTAATAAGCATTCTTTAACCTCGTTCTCATTTCTCACCTCGTGTCCTAGCCCGTATCCACAAAACTCTTTCCTGTGGAAAGCTTAATACCAATCCACACTGAAGTGACCAATGGGGATAAGATTTGGGGAGCAGACCACCTATACTGTAGCACCTCATAAAATATATATACCTCTGCTTTTCTGCATAGAACTGAGACTCCAAATGTCAGGAAACAGCCTCTCTAACTGAAATGAATCTGCCAAAGGATGACAAGAGAGTGGTGCAAGGAGAATCTGCAAGTGAAAGAGCCATTTTACAAGTAGTTCTCCATCTCCTTCCCTTGAAATTCATCTTAGCTTCAGAGTTATCTCATTCTGAGGTCTTCTGCCATCACAACTGACTCAGATGAGCTCTGCCCATTTTAAAACTACAGCCCAATAATAGCCAAACATAAACTACTTTTCTGGTTCCTCATAAACAGCTAAGAAAGGCTGCAATTTTCTTTTCTTAATTATAAAACAAGAACAAGTCTAGACAAGACTGGTGGCAGGGGTGGGGGGTGGGCAGAGGGACCACTTGTAACCCTACCACAACTCAGCATTCTTATTTACTTCTTTCTAATTGTTATCTGTAAGCATTCATACACTTTTTTACAGGAAACCAAAGGAGAAAATTTTTTAATGTAAAATATACTAAGACACTCTCAGAAAATTCAGTCTTTCAGGTAGAACCTTCATTCTATACCAGTTAACTCACTAGACGCTCAAGCCCCATTTCCTTACAAAGGCTGAAAATGGGAAAGATAGCTACTGGTTATATTTGCTCACTCTGCATATGCTATCTTTTTTACCACAGCAAATCTTTATAAGTACTTACTACTGTCTCAATTTTAGAGGAAATCAAAGTTAAAGAAACCCAAGATCACATAGCTAAAAAATCATGGAACCAGATTCAAAGCCTAATCTTAATCTTTCTGACTCTAAAAGCCATGCTCCATCAAAAGACAAGTCATAGTCTGGAGAAATGCCTACAATGCATAAAACAAAGGGTTAAGGTTTTAACAAGCAAAGATACCAACAAAACAGATTTCATGAAGATACAAAGAAACATGATTTTTAAAAAAAAATGTAGATAATAAGATCAAGCAATTCACTAAAGAGGAAATACAAGTGCTCAATAAACATTGGAAAAGATGCCAAACTTCCCTACCAGTCAAGGGAAAGGCAAATTAAAGTAAGCAGATACTACTGCTCACTCATCATCTTGGCAAAAATTTAAGAGTGATAACAGTCCATGTCAGTTATAAAAAAAGGGCTACTTTCTTACACTGCTGGTGGAAGTGTAAATTGTTACACTTTTCTAGAAGTAACTGGATAAAATATCAATCAAAATTTTAAATATATATTCTGTTTGACCCTACATTAGCACTTATTAAAATCTAGCCTCAAAAAACCAAAAAGCACTGGTACACATATTTAAAGATATTTATTGTAGCCTTGCTCATGTTGGAAAAATAGAAACTGCTCATCAACAGCTTCCATTTGAATAAATTAAAATATACCCATATTTTTGTAACAAAAACTCATAATAAAATTTAAGGACAGTAAAATAATTTTTCAAATCAAGTAAATCATTCTTTTGCCTTTTTCCTTATAGACTATCTTTAATATACTTACATTTTACAGATGTAGTGCTACATATAATGTTAATAAGTTACTAATTAATAGCTTATGAAAAAGCCTCATTAAAATTCCATGTGACAATTTGACAAATTGTAAGTATTTTTCAAAAAAAAATGGATATCATTTTTGGCAACTTTTAAAAGGTAGGAAAGCTAATTTGGTCTTGAAATTTTAAAAAATTTTAAAATTAAAGTTTTTATATATGAATGCAAAGAAAAAAGTCTACAAATTTCATTGCTCTAATTGATTGGAGCTTTTTTAAAAATTTGTAGAGAATATTAACCAAAATAATTTTACTTTTAAAATATACATACACTGCTCAGAGCTAACTTCCAGAAAAAAGAAGAAAAAAGTAGGAGATACACACACACACACACACACACACACACACACACACACACACACACACAAAGAAGAGGAAGAAAACAGTGGTAAAGGTACATAATTTAAACATCATGCGCCTGGTCTACAGTCTTTCTCTGCATCCTGAAATGTTTCTTCTATACTTGACTAGTTACTTGAGAATTAAAGAAGCTCCCTTAAGGTGTTCAAGCTGCTGGTTCCCTAGAGTTTCCCCAAAGTCCCTATAAGGGTATATGAGATATATAACCAGGACTTTTTCCATGAGTCCCCATAAAACAATGTCATTTGTCCCTTTCCCAATATCCCAATGCACTCTATTTACACCTGTATGACACTTATTTCAAAACATTGTACAAAGTGGACTTTGATATCTGTGTACCTGTGTTCCTATCCCTCACTAGACTGTAAGCACCCAGAGAGCAAGGGTATACCCATTTAAAGTTTGAGGGCTCTCCACAATACACCTCCAAGCAGAATAGTCTTTGATAGGGGACCACCCCCTACCCACAGCAGCTTGTTCCTTTTAGGGAAAAGTGTAGCTCCTAGAAAGTTCTCCTATAAATGGAATTTAAATATTTTTCTGAAATTTTGAAATTTAGCACCAGTCTTACCTCTCAGTGATCCACAGCATAGATCAAATCCCTCGTGTCACAGGACAACTTGTGAAATATTAGAACCTTCATATTTTTACTTCAATGTCCCAACTCAGTGCTGTGCACATTTAAAAAAAAAAAAGTTAAATAAACTTCTTCCCTTACTGATCAATATACCAGGGGTGGGATAAGGTGGTATATGCTCTAAAAGATATTTTATAATATGTTTTTCATTTCACTATGTGCTTTCAAGGAAAAAAAAAGTCAGAAATACAATAGCCAAAAATTCAGAAATTTAATGCGTAATTATATTCTTCCACCACAATACTTTTCTCATCTCCCCTATAAGCTGACAGTTTCTTTAATGCTGTTGGATGCCCCCACCTGGGCAAAACTGAGCTGGGACAATCTGCCCAGCTCTGCCAGGAAAAGTCCATCCTCAAGGGAAAGTTTCTTCTCATATCCAGGATACCCTGGGCTTCCTGGGCTGACTCAGGACTTCATATGCAGCCTGGATCTCCAAGAAGTGCCTTTGAGCCTCTTCTGTCTGGTGCTGGTTGTGGTCAGGGTGCCAGATCTTCACTAGCTCCCGGTATCTCCGATGTATTTCTTCATTTGTTGCCCCCTCTAAGACACCCAAAACCTTAGGAAAAACAGATATTGACAAATTAGAATCCGGTAAGTTGTCTGAGTACCTGGGTCTCCCCTTCCTCCTTTGCTAAATCAGGCTATGTTATCTCTGGAGTTGGCTTCTACTTGCCTGTGAGAAAGGCTCAGATCTCAGATTAAAATTGCAGCCTTTTGAAACATGGACAGGCTCTGGATCTCATGGTAAGAACCAGGGTTTGCCTTTAATCACAGCTACCCACTTTCTAATCTGGAATTTCACACCCCTGACAAGATCTCCTCCTTACAAGAGAAATAAGAATATGTATCCACCAAACACATGTACAAGACTGTCAATAGCAGCTTTATTCAATATAGCTTCAAACAAGAAACAAACCAAAGGTTCATTAACAATAGAGTGGATAAATATATTCTGGCATATTCATTCATACAATGGGATACTACACAATAAAGAAAACAAACACTTTACAATTGTGTGCAACAGTATGAACAAAGCTCACAGACATATATTGAATGAAAGAAGTCAGACACAAAAGAATACATACTAAATGATTTCGTTTATATGAAGTTCAAGAATGGACAAAACTAATCTATGGTAACAGAAGTCAGAATAGAGGTTACCTCTGAGGAAAGGAGTATAGATTGAGAAAGGGGCATGAGGGAACCTTCTTAGGGATGGAAATATTCCATACCTTGATCTGAGTGGTGGTACACAGGTGTATGTGTAACATTAATATATGTTATACCGCAATAAAAAGTAGATAATATACACATATTTTCCCCCACTCATTATTAGAGCCTCTGCGCATTCATCCATTGCACAGAGAAACCCCAGGACATCTTTCTGGGGCCTGACTCAGCAGACATGAAAATGGTACATAAGGGGATCCCACATAAGGGGCACTGGCTCCAATAAGGCTTAGCCTAACTCCCCGAGCCCTCTCAGACAGGAATGAGAGGGAAAAAAGCCTTACCTGGTAAGCCAGCTGACGCTTCTCATCTTGAAAACTGTGAACAAACTCATAGAGCTTCTCCCACTCCTGGAAGTAGCTGCTGCTGAAGCCAGGATCCCCCACTAGCAGCCTCCAAAACCGGTAAGGCAGAAGGAGGACAGACTCCATGAGGCGGCCAAAGAGAGGGAAGAAGCTGAACCAACTCAAGAAGGAGCCAAGGGTCTCTGCCACATAGCTGAGGGTGGCAGCTGTGTTGTAGAGGGCGCTGTATGCTAGTGGGCCTGTGAAAGCAAGGTAAGCTAAGCCCAGGCGGTAGAGCCGCACACTGAGAGTCTCTGATCCAACTGAAGCTTTGTAGCGGCGATGCTTCTGGGCTGTGATGCTGGCCGCCAAGCTGATGGGCAGGATGGCTATGGAGTAGCCATAAAAGATAGGGGAAGTAAGAAATGCTGCTGCCAGAGTGTTCTTAAAGTCTGAGGTCTGGTTGCCGACAGCGGCCACTAGCAAGACCCCTAAGCCAACTGCCAGTGGGAGGCCCACAATATAGAAGCTGGCCATGAAAGAAAGGCTAATGAGAGCCACAAGGCCAAAATAGATGCCCACTATCATCTGGGCGGCAAAGCGAATGGGACTCAAAGGAGGTGTCCCTGTTCCTGAGCTCTGTCTCTGCCCCTGGGCTCTGTTGGCCTGAGCTACAAAGCTTGGAAGCTTCCAGAACTCCAAGAGCCAGCCCAGCCCGCCACCCCCCAGGGTAAGCATCCAGAGTAATGCATGGCTGTCCCGACCCAGGTACAGGTGGTGGAGTCCAGCAGGGCCCCCTACAGCCCAGAGGGCATAGGTTATCAGGAGTCCCTTGGCCATATTTTAGGGAAAAGTTCTCAGAACGAGTCCAGTGGCACCTGAAATTGTTCCGAGTGCATAAATATGGGGTCCTCTGTGAGAATCATGACCATCACAGCCCCAGAGTTATCCTTAGACCCTAAGAGATGAAAAAAAGCAGCTGTAAGACTATAACCAGGTCCCAATACAGTAATCTTTTGTCCTAATAATAATCGAGTCCAGATCTCCCTGAGTGTCCCTGAAATGCTGGTTCTCCCATACCTTTTGATATAGCACCTCAAGTCTGTTTTTTATAACCATAGCAACCCCAAATTTAGGGGAGAAGAATGTTTTAAATGCCTTCAGTTGAGTAACTGAGAGAACTCAGCACCCAAACAAGAAAAGCGGAAGCTTAAATTTTAGACTTCACCTCAGACTAATGACCCTGAAAATGATTCATGGGGGAGTGGAGCGAATAGGAGTGAATACCATGCCCTTCTTAAGTTTCTACACATTTGGAAAGTCCCTGCCCCACCCCTCCAGCCCCCAATCAACGCCATCTATGGCAGCCCTCATACATCTGGCCAAAGTTTTAGCCCCTCTCCAGCCTTCCCAGCTCTCTAGGCCATGAAATATTCTCATAAGGCAAACTTGAAACAGCTCTGGGAAACTACATTTTGATCTAGACCCTGGCACCCCACAATTCAACCACCTCCTTCCAGGGCAGACTTAGAAAGTCTCTCCAAAGCAGTCTAATGAATGAATCACCAGAATATCATACCAGATGCCAAAGTGTGCCTGCCAGTCTCTCCCCTCTACTTAGAGTGGGCCTCATGACCACCAGCCAGCCAGTACCCGCTATTCCCAAGATGAGTGCCCGTACCTGGGTATCCTGGCTCCCAGGCCCGGCAGACCAGTCATTTCCTTGGACCACAGAGTCAAAATGGCCCTTCTCACTCTGCTTCCACTTCCATCCAAATGGACTTTGTCTTTCTGTGTTTGCTGTGTCAACAGAAGTCTGCCTTTGGGGCCAGGCCCCTCCCCAAGGCCCTCCCCAGCCTCCTCGGGATCACCTTTCAACCTTAGGCCCTTCTCACCCGCCCCCTCGGGTAAAGTCAGTTTAAGGTTTTCTGGGCGTAGCCAGCTTCCCCAGGCTTCAAGGGGAGGCGCAGCACCCCTCTCCAGGCCAGGCGCGCCTGCACTGCCGCGACCGCCAGGTGGCGCTGCTGCTCATGGAAAGATAGGTTGGGTCCCCAGACTCACCTTGTTAAGATAGCCCCGCAAAGCAGTCCAGAGCAGTCCGCTATCATTGTCCTTTTCCACCTCCATAAATGGGAAGATGTCTCCTCCATCACCTCAGTTTGCACTTTCCTCTCTCCCTACGTGCCCTTCAAGACTGCCTTGAATGGCTCCATTTCCAACTCCTCAAAGGCAGAGACACCATCAACAGGCTGTAGGAGATAATCTCCACACACACGCACCCGAGTTTGCCTCACTGCCTTGCCTCCAGGCGTGGCAGTTAAGGAGCACTATGTCTAGATCTCAGCCTGAGACCTGAGGAGACACCCGATCCGGAGGGAGCCCCAAGTCGACTGTAACCTGCCAGCTCTGGCGAGAAGGAGAACCAGGAGCAAAGTGGGTGAGGGGCATCCCACCAGGAGAGCAAGGCCGTAGCCCGAGAATAGTCTGGCTTCCTACTTCCTTGATGCTGGGATGAAGCTGAGATGCAAGATGCCTTCATTTCAGTGTCCTGGGCTCCAATCCTGGTTCTGCTACATGACCTTGGACAAGTCACGACGCTGCTTGGGTCTGTTTCCTCCTCTGTACAGAAAAGACTTGAATCTCCAAGGTTTCCCAGCCTTGACTTGGGGGTGGGGCGGGCCTGGTGGGCCTCACCCATGTCGCCACCCCACAATCGGCAGAGTATTTCTGTTCCCTCCACTCTCCCAGCCCCCTCAGTCCTTATCCTGGCCTGGAGAGAGAAGGCGGCTCTCCATATTGCCCCTTAGGGCGCATTGATGGCCAGGGCTGGAAAAGGCCCCAAAGCGACCCGGGAACCGCCGGCTGGGGGTTGCGGCGGATGGGGCGCTGAATAATGAATGAGACTTAATTGGGCTGGCACTGCGCGGTGGTGCACTAAGCTCGGCAAACAGCGTTGGCGGCGGTTGCTGCCGCTGGACAAACAAACTAGCTCCCAGCACTGGGAGCTGGGCGGGAGCGGCAGAGGTGGGAGGGGGAGGGGGAGGGAAGGGGCAGGCTTCTGCGGCCCCTGGGCTACAGGAGGAACCCAGGAGTGTGGGGCTGCGCTGGCTTCCCAGAGAGGGGTCTCAGGAAGCGAAGACTGGAGAGTGAGAGAAGCGGATTGTGCGGCGGGAGCCAGGGGCCTCAGGCAACCTGAGAGCGAGGAAAATATGGAGAAATGAGTGAAGAGTGGAGGAGAGAGAGAAGTGAGAAAGGAAAAGGTGCACCGGGGAGGAGCTGCAGCGGGGCGAAGGAGGGAGAAGAGCAGTTACCTAGGGGAAAGAGAAGAGCGATGGAGGAACAAGTGAAGGGAGGCGCCAGGGCCCGGGAGAAGAAGAATTGGAGAAGAGTCAAGGAGAGGGATGGGAGGTGACCGGAATGAGAAAGAGAGGGCGGCGGGGCGGGAGTGAGACGCCCCTGCCTCCACCTCGCCTGCAGCGCTCCCGCCCTAGCGCTTTCTCCAGTCGCCCGCACTCACTTTGTCACAATTACGGGGCCGTCACTAGGCCCGGATTGTTTTCCCCAAATTGTTGTTCTATAAACTGGCGTGGGGGTGGGGAGTGGGGGGATCCGATAAGCTGAAATTGCCCTGGGGGGCATGGTGGTGTATGTACCCACAAGCAGACCGGGGTGGACAGGTGAATCCAGTAACCCACCCGGGAATTCTGGCTGCTGCCCCAGCCTCGTAGCTGATCCCGCTTCTAAACTTCCTGTCCCATCTCAGCCTCACTTCCTCGGTTTCCCCAACAGAGAACTGCAAGGATGGCTTGTCAGGGACAGTGGAGACAGTTGTAAGTGGGGCCCAAACTTCCCTGCTCACCCCACTCTCTTTTGTTCTTCACTATTCTGGTAACAGGGAGAGGGGATCTATCCCAGCTCAGCTGTCCCCAGAGCTCTGATCACCCTAGCTGAATGGCCAGACTCCCACCCCCAGCCCCACCCGCGCCCTGAAGCCCCCAGCTCCCGTGCCTCTCGGTGCCCCACGCCACCTTGCTGTCCTTCAATTCCGCAAACATCTGTTGCGCGCCGACTGTGAGCTAGAGCCGCGCCAGGCTTTCTCCCCCGCCCTATTCCCACCGCCCGCCAAAAACTCTCCCCCGCCGTCCGCCGCTTCCTGGCCTGGCTGGCCTGTCGGCTTCGTGACAGCCGCTGCTGAAGCCCAGGCCTCGCGGGAGCGGCCGCAGAGGAGCCGCCGCATGGCTGGCTCCGACATCGGCCTCCCCGGCGGCTCCAGGGGCAACGGAGGGTGGCGGCCGCTGAAGCGAGACGGGAGCTGGCCCTCAGAGTTGGCAGAGCTGGGCGAGGGAGGAAGGGACTCCTGGGTGAGCTTGTGTCCCGGTCTCTAAGGCCTGCCATTCCATTGCCCTGGGGTTCACCCTGACCTGGACGCTGCCTGGATCCTCGCGCCTAGGATGCGGTTGGCTCCCTGTGCCCCCTCCCCCAATCCGGTGATTTACACCCAGGCTCCGCGCAGCGCCGCTTCCCAATCAGGAATATCGACCCCAGGCGGGGCCCCCCGGCCGCATCGATCCCTCTAAGGCTCGGGATTTAAAAATGTCAAATTTGCCTTTTCCAGGAGGGCGGAGGGGCGAGAGCCTGGAGGAGGGCGTCTTGGAGCGGGGCTGACAGCGGGCCATCGACCAGGCGCCTGTGCCCAGAATAAGAAGAGACCTGGCCATAGGCAGGTTCTGACACTGCATGACCATCCTTGGGCTGCGGTCACCTCTGAAAGGGGCAGGAAGAAAGCCCTCCTCCCTCTTCCTATTCCAATGGGCCTCACTATTCCCCTGGACTATTTATTCCCAGAGGGAGAAGCTCCAGAGGAACAGAGACCCCCAAAGGTAGGGAGATAAATTTGAAAGAAATCTCTAAATGTGGAGATATGCAGACACAAGAAGGGCTGCAGAGATAAAGATATAGAGGCTCCAAGTGATACCCTAGCTATCAGGTAGAGCAAGGAAAAGGGAAGGTGGCTGAAAGACACACTGTAAAAAGAACAGGAGACCAGAGATCCAGAATCCCAACTCTCCGCCTTGTAGACCCAGGAGATTTAGGGCTGGGGAGAAAGCCAGGCTCAATCTTTTCGTGTGTTTGAGAATGGGGAAGGAGAGTGGAGACAAAGCCAGGTGATCAGAGTTATCAGAGAGAAGAATTGGAATATAATTAGCATTATCCTCCCAAGTCTTTGACTAGTAACTGGATCTGAGATCCAAAAGGTAAGGGTCCCAGGGGCCACTAGCCCAGGCCCCAAAGAAGTGTGCTCCCTCGGAGATCTGATGATCTGCTCCTTCCCTTCTTGAGGTCCATCTCTTCCTCTCTGACCCCCACCAGCCTGGAGATACTCATGTCACATCTTATATCAGAGACTATTTGTATATGTGGAGACTGTGTATATGTGTAAGGGTGTAGACTACAGAGAACTGGTAGTAACCACTTTCTTCCCCAGGACTCAGCAATTGGGTCTCCAGACTTTGGGGGTGGGGGACATCCACTACTTTCAGGAAGCTTGGGGAAGGGATGATACTTGAGGTGTAGGTGATGGAAGGGACCAGTTACCCAGACCAGCATTCTCACAGTTAACATCTATCCCCCAGCCCCGGCAGCACACCTCAGCTGTCACTGTGCACACTGCCGTCTCCTACAGAACTGAAGACAGAGAGCTGACAGCAAGTGGTGCGGCTGGAGCCGGGCACAGACACGCAGGGAGGGATAGCGGCTCATCCTCAGACACTTGCAGCTCACACCTCTGCTGACAAAATCAAGCCAACACATCTCTAACGCTGACACACAGTCACTGACCTCCATGTGCGATCCACACCCATCAATGCCTGTCATACACAGGCGCACACGCGCACAGTTCCTCGCAGGTCAGGCTGAAGCGCCTA